ACCACCCGCCTCTGCGCCTCGCCCGGCAGCAGCACCAGCGTGCCCTCCAGCGGATCTGCCGGCACACACACACACACAGTCAAAAGCTAAACACGAACTGCTGCCATTCCCAACGCTTACACAGCATCAGCGACTCATGCAACGCACCGCCGCCATGCCGCAGGGACCCCGCTCTTTTCTAACTGTTCTTATTCAGTTACGAGCCTACAGCGCTTGCTGAAGGGAGGACACTATAACACGGGGGGGAAGGAGGGGAATGGGATAAAAAAGAAAAACCCATACTACCAAATGCAGCTTTCACAAAACCTGAAGCTTCTAGTCTATCAAAGTCCCACGAACCTGAAGATTTTAATCTTGTTACTAGCCTTTAAGAAATTACACACATAGTTTTAACCTTTATTAACCTGTATATATATAACCAATTAACAAGGGAGATTTAGGGTGGATATAAGGAAGATGTTCTTTACCGTGAAGGTGGTGAGGCACTGGCACAGGTTGCCCAGAGAAGCTGTGGCTGCCCCATCCCTGGCAGCGTTCAAGGCCAGGCTGGACGGGGCTTGGAGCAACCTGGTCTAGTGGAAGGTGTCCCTGACCATGGCAGGGGAGTTGAGACTAGATAATCTTAAGGGCCTTTCCAACCCAAACCATTCTATGATTCAAGTTTAACCTTTATTGTAAGGGATTGACCCAATCTCTACCCCTGCCCCACATGCACAGACTTTACATGCATCTAGGAGTGAAACACCAGTATTTTCCACCTAGTGCAACTTCCCTGCCAAGCGACAGACAACGCTCATCAAAGCTGTAGCATAAAAGTTTACCATATATTCGAGCAGCAGTGGCTTGTAAACTTTGTAGTAATTCCTTGTTTGAACGAGAAGCAGCAGAATGAATGATATCAATCAGCTGATTCGAAAGCTCAGGGTTTCTCAAGCCAAGCAGAGCAAGTTGCTGAGGTAAGCCAGCCAACCAACGAGATAAAACTTTGCTTCGGCTTCTAAAAAGAGAAGGAAAATTAGTTTGGGGGGAGAGGGGGGAGGGAGGAAGGCAGGGTGGGCACACAAATAAAATAACAAAGCCCCCAGAAACTTACTCTTTCCAATCTTGACTAAGTTGGCTTTAGTGTCAATACAATACAATTACAATAAATTGCAATACTGTGATTTGCCGAGAATATTCCACCGGAAGTTCTGAGCACGCTGGTGTGCTATTACATTTACATCAGAAATGTTTATCTGATCCATAGGTTTTGCACTGCGTATTTCCAACTCTTTCAGAAATTGTTTGTCTGAACTGACTGTATACTGGCAAAGCAACATCCCCATTTATCATTAGCTTTATCAGTCTATATTTAAGGAGTTATGAGTTAGGCTAAAAAGCTATGACACTACTACACCCTGAATACTGCTTAACCCCCCAATTAAGCTAGTACACTTTCACTACATTTTCAATTCTACCTTTGCTGACATCTTGTCAATTCAGACACCTCTTAAAGCAGAATGAAAACTGCAACTGGTGGAACATGGCACAAAACAACTTTATTGCTGAAGTGCAGCATCAGACACTCTCCCCTTGTCCATGCAGCCATTTGTCATGTGTCAAAGAGGGCTAACATTTTGGTAAAGCATGACTTGCTTTTATATATACATGCTATTTTGTTCCTGATTACCTGCAGGTCCTTTACACGTTCATATATTAATTCCAAGCAATGGGCTCATGACCGTCCCAGGGACCAGCTGAGGCTTATCAGCCTGAAATTCCCCAGATTCCCTTCAAATTGGGTTAACAGCAGTCTTTTCTCTTTATCATGTGACTGCTCATTGCAAGGGGGTTGGACGAGATGCCCTTTGAAGGTGCCTTCCAACCCCAACTATTGTATTCTATGATTTTCCCAGTCATGCAGGACCTCCTGCAGCCACCATGGTTTTTCATGGATGACAAACAACAGCCTCGCTTTCACGAGAACTTTCTCCACTACCTCAGGTATACCCCTGCACATCTGTCTGGCAGGTTATGCTGCTTGCTTTGTGTGCCAGTCATTCTTGATAACATGAAGTTTAGCTTCGTGAGAACTCTGAGGAACTGAAGTAGTCTCTCTCCAGTTACACCACTCCCACTATTGTTGTCTATGTGCTGTATCCCACTGCACGCACTCATACTCTTTAAGTGAAATGCCATCTTTTATACCAAATCCACTTACCTGCATTACCTGTCTTTAAAGGTAACAGTCAAAGTTCTTACTACCCGCATTTTCACATGCCACTTCTCCCCAGTTTCTGGAATAAAATTTACCTAATCCTCCTCTTATGCATTCATTTGACAGTTTTGTTTACAGCACTGTTGCTTCCACATCTGAGGACTCTGACCATCCCTTGTGTTTGACACAAATTATTATAATCTTTATAAATACTATCTTGTCACACTTCAATATCAAAGGATAGCCTGAATTCATCCTAATTTCAGGCCCACTTCTTCCCTTCTCCTACAGTGTGACGGTTAAGAAGCTTTTGCTATTTTCATATCCTACCAAAAAAAAAAAAAAAAATAATAAAATCACCTTGACATTTAGGAATTGCTATCCCTAACCTGCTTGTCAGAAATATAGGAATGAAACAAGTTTGCTTATCAATTCTTTTTTTCCCGTTCTCTGTAAGCACTATTTACCATAAACACCCCCTAAAAGCTGGTCAAGAAACAGAAAAAACTTGGACAAGCTCTTCCCTAGCCTAAGACAAATCTTCATTTGTATTTATGACTTAATTCTCCAGACCTCCTTCCCCCATTCCAATCAACTGGCATCATTCATACTTCAGGAAACTTCACGTAATTAGGTTTTTTCTTTCCTTTAAATGTCTTTGGTGCTGAGCTTTAAAACCTGACAACCTCCATTACAGGTCTGCTTTTATTTACCCCTTCTAGCTCAAACTGAAACAATCTTAAAGACCAATCTTATCTTTCATGGGCTACAGTATCTAATGACACCCGGGCTTATCAAGTCAAGTATCATTTATAAATCAAAAGCATTTCACTAGCTTACTACAAAAGGGATGATTACATGAATGAAGCTGCCTACTGTAAATGAAGTTCAAAGTAGGTCTTTGAATGTGTCAACAACAGTAGCATAATGATAAAAATTATTTCATTTTCAAAAGACCTGATAAAATCTCTCACCAAGAACTTCTTAAAGGAAACTAAATATCCATGATGTAAGAGGGAAGGGCCTCACATAGAGAAATTAATTGTGGTGAGCAGTAGAAAAAGCCTGGAGAAGAGACAACTGAAGTGGGTGAGTTGGAGGAGGACTCAACAGAGGTCCCAAATCACTTGATACGCAAATGGTAATTTGATAGGAATAAAATGCTTGCTTTCTCTTCCCACGTAAGTGGGCGCCGATATCAAATGAAGCTGTCTTCAGACAGCTGAGATTTGTCACTCCTTGCCAGAGGATGCTGCAGTTACTCTTGATTTAGACCAGTCTGAGGAATAACCAGAAAATCCCATGAAGAAGATATCCACTGAGTGATATGAAACACAAAGAAGCTCTGCACAGTGAGCAAGTACAGGCTTCGAACTGTTGGAAGTTTAAAGCACTGTGTAAAAGTAATTCTTCCCTCCTTCCTATAGCACCTGACACAGGTCAGTGCTGAAGGCAGGCTGTGACACCAAATAGCCTTTTAAGTCTCTATCAGTGTATATACAGGCATGTGCGTGTGTGCATACGCACACAGAGTATACGTATATTCCTGCAGTGACCACACACGTGTGTGTAGTGATTAGGGATGAAGATAATTAACATCAAGATCCAAATATTAATTCTGAATCCTGTAATAAATCAATCGCGTTTTCTATCACAGGGCAGTAACAGGCCAAAAGCTCCTACCTAGCATCTGAATCAGATGCACCTAAAAGATAAACAGCTTCACCTAAAAGTCCTTGGAAAATGTTCCAACATGAATTCTGCTCCTCTTAGACTGCTCTTGACAAGCTTCTGAGTCAAAAATAAACACGGAATGAGGAGAGCAGTCACAGGAGAGCTGAAGGAGCTATGACATCAAACTGAACGTCAGGATCTACTGCGCAGTTCACATCTTGATTAAAAAAAAAAAAATCAAAACCAAACCCACTTGTTGCTAAAAGAAATGGATCTGTACAGTACACAAACATCATTTTGTCTTAAAATGTCTTGTTGGACATGGGTACAATTATCCTTTTTGCAAAGAATTTGTGTGATTGAATTCTTCTGTTACTAAAAATGACAATTCCAGGTAGCATGCCCAGAGAAACACAGGAAAGCTACTGCTATCTGTGATGTCTAAAGATAGAAAGTTAAAGCTTTCTAGATAGTTAGATGATGACATGAAACTAGAAGAGATACTCAAGATTTCCAGTTAATACAGAAAACAGTGGTTACATAACCTCAGGGAAATTAGTATGACCAAGATCTCTGTTTCCAAAGAGGAGGAAAATGGGATATCCCCAAGCCTTTTTAATGTCTGTCTTTCAAATTTCCTATACTTTCACAATATTCATAGAGTAGTGTTGGATATTTCTGGCTGTAGATCTAATTACACGTACTCTGGCATTACCATAACAGAAGATTTAAGAAAGCAAACGAGTTGCAGAAGAGAATGCTGGTAGATGCCAGTATTTCTGGGGCTCTGAGGTTTGGAGTTTTTATCCAGTGGCAGGAACAGGTGTCATGGATATGATCTTACGTCTTCTTGCAGTTTTCAAATGAGGTAGGCTTGATGCAGCCTGATCTGTGTTTAAGGATTTTACGTAGGTGGAACTGATGACTTAGCTGAAAAATACCATCTGGAAAAGTTGAGACTGGGAAACAATCTGGACAAATTACACTTCTTCATCGTAAGATAACAGCACTATAGAGAGTAAGCTTCTCTTACTTGAAGCAAGTCAGATATGTAATAGATGCATGAAACCAGAAACCCAAAAGGACAAGAATATTTTCTTAAACCTAGTCTTTTTAGAACCATGCATACAAAACAACAGAAGAATACTTTTCTTAAAGAAAGTAAGTACAAGTCTAGAAAGACACTACCAGAACCACCAAATGCATTAAGCCAGAAGTCCATGACCTTGGGCTGAAGTAAAGGAAATGCTCTATGGCTGTAGCTACACAATCTCGACACACCTACTGACTACCACACAGCCAGTAACAATGAGCTTGCAGCAGTTTATTGCAAGTTAAATTTTAAATCATTAAGATCTATCTAGTATTTACATTAAGAATAATAAGATAATACCCATCTTAATCTCACAGTGAACCTAAGCTTTCAAATTTCAGTGACAGAGCCAAAACAGATTCAGAATTAAGTTTCATAACATCTACATCAAACCTCAGTATTCTATCTTCTGAAATAAATATACTACATTGAAATGAAAGAATATGCAAATGTTTTTTACCTGATTCTTTGAGTCCTCAAATCTTCTTTTTGGTAAACTCTGCTAAAAAACTTCAGAAGCAACGTTCGAACTGGAAAGAGGAGATTCCTCTGCTGGTATAGTGTATATACTGCTTTGATCAAGGGTTCTGTTGCCACTAGGAAAAAAAAAACGTAAAAATCTGAAGTAGTGCTACTTATTCTTCTCATTTTATACAAACACACAGAAGAGTTACAATTTGTATCTCTACAACTATCAACATTTAACTCCAAACAGCTTCTGATTATCTTCAACATGGGGACTCTACAAACCCCCTGGGCAACCTGTGCCAATGCTCTGTCACCCTGAACAGTGGAAAGGGTGTTCCTGATGTTCAGATACCATGTCCTGTGTTTCAGTTTCTGCTTATTGCCTCTTGTCCTGTCACTGGGCACCACTGTAAAGAGCCTGGCTCCCTCTTCTTTACACCGTCCCTTCAGGTATTTACATACATTGATGAGAAGCCCCCTTGAGCCTTCTCTTCTCCAGGCTGACAGTCTCAGCTCACTCAGCCTTTCCTCACAGGAGAGATGCTCCAGTGCCTGCATCATCTTCACAGCCCTTGACTGGACTCTCTCCACTATATTCACAACTCTCTTGTACTGGGGAGTCCAAAACTGGACACAGTACTCCAAGTGGTGCCTCACCAGTGCAGAACAGAGGGGAAGGATCACCTCCCTCAACCTGCTGTCAACACTCCTCCTAACACAGCCCATGGCACCACTGACTGCCTTTGATGCAAGGAATAGACAACTAACTGACAAAATATACGTGAGGGATATTTGACATCTTTTCGTCTTACAATACCAACAATGAAACCTGCTGCTAAAAGGCAATGCATTTTCTATAAACTCTACTTGGCTATGTGTCTGTGGAATCCACTTCTACCAGACTGCTAAGACACAACAGACCCCTGGCACCTTCAGATATACTGAAAAATTCCTTTCTTAAAGTCCTACATCGATCACTTAACAGACATGTTAACCAAGGTCTTACCTGGAACACAACCAAAATACTGCACTGGTCCTGCAAGTCACAACTGGAAATGGGTTTTCTCTTGGAAAAGGATTCAAATAAAACATCTTGGAAAATATTGTACAGCAACTGCCATCAGAACTATCTTGGCATTCCATGTAATCACAGAACTAGAATTGTCATCTGAGAGTACTCAAAGGGAGTCTACCAGCTGTATTAATGATTTTAAATAAGGATTGAAATATTAAAGTATCATGCACCTCTACATCCCGATACTTATTTTCTTCAATGCAGAAAACTAATCTTTCCATTTATAATATATTAAGTAGTAAAACCAGAAAACAACTACACAAACATATTAACACTTCGTGTATCAATAGTACAAATCTAACAGAATTCCTAAAAATCAAGCAGTTTTCAGTGCTACACACAGGGATATGACCAAAAAATTCAATTTACATCTATAGACAAAATATATTATGATGCAACAACTAAGGATATAAGATGAAGTGACCTGAAAATGCAGTAAATCAAGCATTTTGTCAGTACATAACTTTGCTTCTCAGAAACTACTCCTATCTTACCTTTGTTTTGCTGTATTTGCATTAGTCTCCAAGTCACACCAAGCAATCTGTTCACCTGCTTGCTATTCAGCTTGCTACCATCCTGAAGAGTATCTGTCACAAATTTCCTTATCATGTCCAGCCAACCAGAATCCATCTGAAGTGTTGAAGTGCTTGCTAGTGAAACCATTATGTCACACAAGGTTAAGTTCAGTAAAAGATGGTCTACGCTGTTTGAGGATGTCACACAATACTTGTTCCTAAGGGGGAAGAGAGGGAGAGAAGAAAAGTGAGATTTCAGAAAAAAATATTTGTGCCTTTTAATATATGTTACTTTGGTAGAAATTATACTATATATATAAAAAAAAAGTGTTAAAGTTTTAAAGCTAATACACATTTTAAAGTCTTCACATTTGACAATTGAGTGCTTGAAATTTTTTTTCTGCCACTAAGGAAGCCCCAAAACACCATGCAAGGTTTCCAAGTACAAGCCTTTAACCCAATATATTGATAAGCAAGGAAAACAAAAGCAACTACTTATTTTCATGGCATGAAGCTAAGTTTCTAAAAGTCTTGAAGTAACAGTCAAAACAACCACAAAAAAAAAGAATTCACAAATTCACAGATTATTTTTCCTGCATTTATCCAACAACGTATTTATTTTGAAGCGCAAGAATGGGACAAAACTTAGAGTAGAGTGAAGAAGGATCAACAGAACTCTGATTAGTCAGGATGTCATCTGTAAGAAAAGAAAGCTGGTTGCATGTGCACTGCCTAACTACCAATTCTGATATTTTCCAAGAAAGGGTATTCAGGTCGAAACCTGGAAAAGCAAAACACCTTTTGGCTTACAAACATAACGGGTAAAACTTGGCTGAAATGAAAGCATTTAAGGAGCTATACTGAATTTCTGACCTACGTGCCCTTCCAGGAAGGGAAAATGCAACAGTAAAAGTATCAAATGGGATTTCAGCCTCAAGTATACTTGCACCATGGTAGACCCTTAGTATAAAAAAAGAGGTGGTTCTACCACTACAGCTCAATCTGCAGGGGCACAGTTTGCAAATATGTGAAACACAGACAGACAGCAGATGATACCCCTTCTACAAACACCGGTCTTCTACAGAGGCTGCAACTGCACATAATAGCTCCAGAGCAGACTTTATAGTCTCACACCCAGGAGCAGAAAAAAGGAGACAACCTGCTACTGGCCTGTACCAGAACAAAATCAGTGCCCACATTCTGCCAGCTTAATAGTGAAGAAACATGTGAGCGTTTGGCTTTTCCTGCTCCCATACTGGTTTGCCATAAATGATAGCCACAACGTGTCCCATCCTCTCTCCTAACTGCATTTATCCAGCCCTGTAATACAACTAGAGCAGAGTAATGGAGGGGGTGGGGAAGGAGTTTTACCTATGTTTTGAAGTAATTCAGCAGTTAGCTGAAGAACACATGCAGAAATGTGAAACGAGTCAGACTAACAGGAATCGCCATTTTAGCAACATGCAAATTCCAGATCAAGTGGTCAATAAAGTACTTTCATTTCTCTAGGACAGCGTTTGAATTTCTACCACAGGCTATTCAGATGAATTCTTATACAATACAATAACAAAGAACAACCAAATCTTTATTTTTACCCTTTGCATGAGTCTTTCTTCTTGTGCTTTGCTGTTTCTTGTAAAGAGTAAGGAAAATGGCGCATGAAGTGGTGTTTGAAATCAACAAGGTAATTCATTCGGAGCCACAGATCCTGTCAAGGAAAGCAGATGACAGACGTCAGAAAACATGGCAGTAAGTGAAACACACTGATGCAATCATCTTCTAAAATCCATTACCAGAATCAATGCAAAATAGGAACTTTATCTTCTATTTGCAAGTGTTCATATATATTTGCTTTTAGAGGTAAATGTGAAGTCCTGTGCACACACTTCCAGGTTCATAAAACAAGGGAGTAAAATTTTAAGTCAAAGCTGAGCAACAACATTTAATCCAGACTGGACCAGTGTATTTTCTTAGCACATACTAATGTGGATATACGCACTATTAAACTGAGGCAGTTACAGATGCGAATTGGAAGTGCTTTTATATCAATTTTTTCAGTGTACTTAACATCAAAGGGAACTCTTGATTTACTTGTAGTGTCTGTCCTGAGGTTTCCATTAAGATGTATTCTGACACTGCCTTCACTTTTCCCCATCCTTAGTGTACTTGCTGTTCAAAGCTCACTGACAATATGTTTTCCAGTCGAAAGGCCATCCTCATAGAAAAAGGGATTATTTTCAGCATTTAAAAATAATTTTACTTTGTGGGTTAGCAGAAACTCATAGACACCATTACACAAAGTGTCCCGCAGAACTCATCACAAAAGAAGTCCTGCATTGCTATTAAATTGGTCAGGCAGGATACGCTTTCTGATAATCAAGTATTAAGAATGAGGATGACCATTAAGCTATCTCAAAGATTAATAGGTTTCGACTAAGCATATTCAGAATGGTTTTCCAAGGTGTCTGTAATAAGCGTTTTGGCCTGTAAGCCTAAGGGCACAAAGCTTCCATTTTCAGACTCAGGTATTTGAATTCATTTTATATATAAAGGTGACTATACAGGAAAACCCAAAACCGTTTCTCCTATTAAAAACACAACATGACAGAAAAAATGTTGTATGGGCATCTGATAATTCCCCCCCCCCGCCCCCCAACATCTTAAGGTCATAATGGAACTGTGTGTACCTAAACCAGCTCATATCTTGACACAGGAGCACTCTTCCCATGTGACCAAAATGCAAGCTCCCTATGGCTAAGGGCAGCAGCTCTGCAGTACCTGAAGGAAAGAGGCTAAGGGGCAGTAGGCTGCCACAGGTATTTACCTGGCCATCTGCCTGTTTCCAAGAGGGCCTCTAGAAAAGATGA